CTTAAGATAAGGAGCCCAAGACTGAACACAATATTCCAAATGTGGCCTAACCAGTGACCTATACAATGAAACTTTAACCTCTTTTTAGACTTGTATTCAATATTTCTGTAGGTACAGCCTAAAATCCTATTTTCCTTACCACTTGCAACAGTGCACTGTTTGGATGGCTTTAGAGACTGATCAACTATTACACCAAGATTCCATTCTTTCATAACACTGTTAAGGTTATTCCCATCCAAATTACTTCAGTTATCCAGATGTCAGGTTCCCGGATCGGTCAAACAATTTATCACATTTTCATCATGTGTCATGTTCACAGATCGGTGGGTCCGAGATTTCCCTGTGGTCTGATGAAATTGAGGTGAACATGATATGATCCTCTTTCTTACCCACACCAGATAGCTGGGTTTTGGATTGCAGTTGACTTGCCGCTGGTATGATCCTCTTTCCTACTCCCACATGGATGTTGGTACCCGGCAGCCAAGTGACTTACCAATGGTATGATCCTCATCCTACCCCCGTGTGGATGTCATTTCCCAGTGGCTGGGTTTTAGATACAGTTGACTTGCCATGTATGGTCTGTTGCACCCTAGCCACTCTACACCTAGAAACACATCCTTTTCACTCTCACCCACATTAATGTACACTATGGGATTGAGATTCAGATATTGTGTGGTTCACATCCCTATCCAACTATTGTTCTCTCCCTTTTGGATGTGCTCCTCCCATTTTCCACCCATGTCTGTGACACCTCTTTCCACACTGGGCAAAGGGTATACCTGGTATTGAAGTGGTGTGGTCTCCCACATATGATCCTCTAATGTGAGGATCTCCTCTTTCAGGATGTTCTTCAGATACTTTCATTGAATTCTTCTTTTTTTTTCCCTCGTACCAGTCCCTCCAATTATTCAATGTGGGGTTCTAACTATTTATATGAGGATGTTATAATTTTCCTATAAAAGTATATTTCTGTTAGGTACTTACCTCCTCTCATACTTCCAACCCTTCCTCCTCAATGAAAACCAGTGCTTTCATTTTCTGCCAAAACTCAAAGTGATAGTTCGGTAGAAGTGAATAGAGGGAGTCACATGCATCAGGAGAATGTGTCGCATGATGATTTACATGCAAGATGCAGTTGAACCATTTTATGTAAGGTACGTGGAAGCTCAAGGCTTGTGGCATGTGGAAACAAATTTTTGGGATATAGAGGGCAGCACTGAACGAGAATAGCTATTTATGTGAGTGGAAGTAAGTACCTATCAGAAATATATTTTCAGTATAATAAACTTATAACTTTTGTATTCAGCTAGTACTGTCACTAGTCAATAGTTACGGTGATTTTATTTCTCTCCCAAAAGTTTTTGAATTAGATATAATCTAAAATAGGTGAGGCTATTGTAGATATTGTTGAAATACTTATTAGTAAAGTTCTTTATTTTTATATCCAGTCAGTCAAGACTATACAGAGAAGTGTCTGTGTGTAACATCATCTCAGAAGTATTAGATGGGAAAATGACTTGGGAGTGTCCATCAGAGTTTTTTTGGGAGTAGACAGGGAGAATTTTTTATGTCAGGTAAGTTTATTACATATTTTATTACATACTGCTCTTAAATGAATTCTAAGAAAATCATTTGCTTAACAATATGAGTGTTTAGAAATTTATTTACTTTCTGATCACTTCTTAAGATATTTTTAATTTTCCCTTCATATTTAAACCATGAATTTAGGGTTATTAGCAAATAAATTATTTGAAAAAACTACTTATACTAGTAAAAACAAACATGAAAAACTGGGTAAAAACAATACATTTTAAGATTAAAGCACATTTTAGTTAAATATTTCATTTAACAACATCAGTCAGTGGTCTCTTGTGGGTTATTTGGATATTTTGCAATATATATGATCTATTAGGTCATCAAGAAATTAATGTCGCATTTTGGAACACTTTCATTAACCACCCTCCAAAAAATGTACATCACGTATAATAGTTAAACGAATTGCCTAAATGTCAAGTTAGTGTAGCCTATATAATATGTAAAATTTAGTATACTCTAATTCCTTATAATGATGGCATACGACAAGACACACATTCGGCATGTAATGCTGTTTGAATACAAGAAAGGAAACAATGGTTCTGTAGCCACAAAGAATATCAAAGAAGTTTATGGAAATATGTTGGATGTTTGTAAGTGTCAACAATGGTTCAGCAAATTTCGTTCAGGTGACTTTAGCCTTAAAAACTATGATGAAAGGGGCTGACATGTTGGAATTGATATCGATACTCTGAAGACGCTTGTTGAGTCTAACCCAAGGTAACACACTCATGAAATGGCCCTGAAATTGCATGTCTCTCATGTAATATTACATAAACATCTAAGGGATATGGGAAAACTCCGTAAAGAAGGTATTTGGGTGCCTCACGGACTCTTGGGTGATCATTGTGTCAAACATGTGAACGTTGCTTCACCTCTTCTGGTGCGTAATGCGCATGAACCATTTTTGGACAGAATTGACACCGGTGATGAAAAATTTTTTCTCTATGCAGATATTATATGTCAAAATCAATGGCTCAGTCTTAGACAAAAACCACTTCTGACCCAAAAAACCTGGACTCCATCCGCAGAAAGTGATGATTTGCAGTTGGTGGGACATCAAAGGAGTAATTAATTTCGAACTCTTCAATCCACATTTAAATCAAGCACTTCACCAGAAACGCCCTTCACTTGTCACTCAGAAAGTTGTTCTTCTTCTCCATGACAATGCACGTTCTCATGTGGCACGTTTAATGCAACACAAGATTATGGAGTTGGGTTGGGAAGTTCTCCCCCTCCCACCATATTCTCCACATATGGCACCATCAGATTACCATCTTTTCCATTCACTGCAACACCATCTTAATGGGAAAACATATGTAAATGTGGAAGGTGTTAAAGAGGACATCGATATGTTTTTTGCTTCAAAGCCAAGTGATTTCGTTAATCAGGGCAATAACATCTTGATTGTAAGATGGAAAAGCATCATTGATAACAATGGGGACTGTTTCATTTAATAAATGTTTTGTTTTGATATATAAGTTGTTAGGGTTTTTCATCTAAAAAAAGTGACATTAATTTCTTGAAGACTTAATACTATACACAGTTATAATGTGTTTAACTTCCTGATATGTTGATCTTTGGACGCATAACTTCTGTTTTGTTTTCACAAGTTACTTTGAATGGTTTATTTTAATCTCCTGATGCAAACTTAAAGATGGAATGTGAAAGGAAACTTGTTAAGAACAGTATGACAGTAGTGTAAATATTTAGTTATGAATTTTTTTAAATATACTGAACAGTTTCTAACTTATACTGTTCTCCGAATTTACTTAGTGTAATTAAATAATAGGTTCCAAAACATATTTCAGAAATATAACTAGATAAGTATGTCTGGTTTAGGGGGAAAATTGTACATTTTTTATATTTAGAGCCCAGTTAAATCTATCATCAGATGAGTTGAAGTATAAATTAATAGCAGGAAAAAGTTATGATTGATTATAGAAGAACATTCAATTGACCAAAGTATTTTAATATTTATTACAATAGTGTTTGAAACCTCTTGTGACAACAAAACAGTCGGTAAACCTGAATGCATTCTTAAGGTGAGTTCTTTAGTACTATACTATAACAAATTACAAAATAAACAATCAAAATCATTAGGAACATTTAATAGTTTGTTCACTTGTGCTTTGTGCTATAAGATACAAAGGAAATTGTTACAAATTTTAACTTGCTATATTAGCTTTTTTCCTGTATTTGGAAAAACATAAAGAAAGTGTAAAGAGTCACAGATAGATTGGACAGTAAATATTAGAAGGTAATGTTTTTTCTTATTGTTATTTACTGGTAACTCGGATATGAATATAAAAAATAGAGAAAAATATGTAAAAAAATGTTAAACCTATAAAAATTTGTACATTAGTCTTTTGTTTAACAATACAAAAAGAATATTGAAAATTATATATTTTTTAGTATGTGGAAGTTGTACCTTAGGCATTTCAATATAAGATGAATCTCTGTAATAAGACATTAAAAGAGCTTGACAGTTTGTATTGTGTGGGGCTAATTAAATTTCCTGTGGGAAAGAAAAAACAGTTTGTGGTTGACTGGCAACATTAGTCTAAAGGAAGAATAGGTGAAGAAAGCACCGATTGTGCTGTCTAGATCAGGCCTGCTTATCATGAAGCAAAGCACCATATGGTACAAGAGTACCCACTCCTCAGTATTTGACACGGTACACATTAGTGCACAGTTACTGATCATAGCTGATCCTGACATCACTTTGTGTATACTAGTTTTTAATATATGTGTATGTGTAGACTATATAATTATTTGTCAGTGTTAAAATATTGTATCAGGTTTTTAACTGATAAAACATACATCTAAACTCATATCTTAACCAATGAAAATTGACTGAAAGTAAATTTGGTAGTTCGTGAAGACAGAGATAGTTATATATGTTACTAATAATGTTTAAAATCAGAAGTAAGCCAACTATGTGTGTATAAGTCAGAATTAAAATTTTACTTGTAATTTCATATAACAAAGTGACTAGAAGCATAATGTCATAAATCACTACAACAAAACTGAAACCTTTAATGATTAAAGCACATTATTAGATTTTGTGTATGGGCCAGAATCTTTACAGTAGGTGTCTGTGACTTGTTGGCATTAAATTTCAACAATAAACAGAAAGCAACACAGTCCACTTATTTTAACCCTTTTTAAGATAGGTCATGGGTGAAAGGCCATGTCATCTCGTTTGTTGACTCATATTAAAAATTTTATTAAACTACTATTTCATGAATTTATGTCAGTAAGTTTGGTATCAAACTGTAGTTTATAATTCAAATTTTAGTACTATATATTACTCAATTTTTTAATTTAAAACCAAATATTAAAAAACATAGATAAACATCAGTTATTATGTTACGTGGTATGATGAGCATAGCACTTGTTTAAATTACATGTTTGTGAAGTCAGAATACTAAGTTTATAGTTTGTATGAATTAGAAACTGAAATTGACAAGCTAGAATATAAAATAAGAAGTTCTTATCTTTTCAGTTTGCTAAGAAATTGCTCATGTAATAAATCAAACACAGTGGCACACCACCCACCTCTTTCAATTTTTGGAAATGCTCCCTTATATACACTTTCTTCTATATATGACATGAATAACCAATTGAAATCTCAGAATGTCTCCCTAGTGGCTTTCTTGGCCATTTTAAATTCTTAGGATGCCATTTCTATCTTTTGAACCAATATTTCAACAAAGTAGGGTGTCTCTTTAGTCTGCTCGAAATTTTATTTTTAGACTAAAATACATCTTAGTTACTAAGCCTGATAAATTAAAGTGGAATTCTATGGTATTATTGTTGTAATTCATGATTTTTTAGTTATTCAAATGTATATATAAAACTTTAAAAAAATTGTGTTTCATATCCTCCACGTGCAAATTTTTTAAAGGATTAGCAACCGAGTACAAAGGTCATAACTAGAAGAGATAATTGTTTGCTTTACTTCTTTATTTACTGTTCTAAGTAACTGTTTCTTTTTTTTTCATCAAAGACCACACATGCTGGTTCAATTACTTTAGAATACAATTGACAGGACAAATTATTTCTTCTCTACACTTATTACAATGCAATCTGTAATACTTTCACTTTAGAAATCACCACTATATACACTCTTATTTGCTAAACTCACAATCATGCAGTCTAGATCTGTCTAAATAACTAATTCAAACTACATTTTGGATGTGTATTTGTAGCCTGACAGAGGCTTAGAAAGTTCCACACACTATGTGCTATTACAATGCATTAATAGTCAATTAAAACAACAAAAAAACTTAGAAGGTTTTAGTAACATGATACAATAATAAAGCAATTGCCAATTCACAACATCTGAACTACACAACATATGATTCATAAGCAGTTACATAAACAAACACTTCTAAAAATAACTAAGTTTAACACTCCTGCTATACTTAAACTATCTAAATCATAACACTCGCATTAAACTTAATGGAAACAGTCGTGTATATCTATCATACATTGAATTATCAATTGGGCAGCCTCACTGTTAACAATATTTTCTTTCATAATATAAGTGATATCTAACAAGGTTCAACCAGCTTAAGAGATTTAGTTTAGTCCTAAATCTTTATATATGAAGGTACTGTGGAAAATAATCTTCATGAGTGTAAAATTCATAATAATAATAATAGAATATTATTGGAAGTAACCTTAATGAAAAATAGGGTATGTAATTACAAAGCACATACATGAGATCCAAATATGCTTAATATAAAATGATAAAAACCCTGTAACCCAAGAACTTTCTAATAATTACTATTTATTTATGATAATTTCCATGCCTGTCTTAAGAAGTTGATCTGCTTAACATTTCTTTTTCAGTCAGTCTCAATCTCTCACCTTTATTTTTCTTTTAACAACACTTAAGTATACTTTTTATTGACCATTTCTAAGCAAAACATCTCTAACACCTTTTTACATAACATTTTCATTTACAGCCATGTTTCACCAGAAATAAGACACACTTACAACAGTACATTGATAAATATACAAACACACTTCCTGAAGCTTAGGTGACCTTCATGATATCACTCATTCAGTCACACCACCTGAAGAAGAAAGGTCCACCTTTTAAATGTGTTCAGGTCACCAGGTTTTTTATCCTTTTATATCAAGACTTCTTGAACTTATTTGCTTTTCTGACATTATGAATCCAAATCTACTTATTGGAGTTTAGTTGATTGTCCCTAAGATACACACAGCACACCAGTACATGGAACCTTAGCACTCATGTATATGCAGCAATGCACATCCAAGAACAGAAAGGCTAAAAGTTATACTATTAGAATAATGCTAACCATCTGTTCAAAAAATTTTATGATATTCTCTCACTGATTTCCAAGAAAATCGTGACACCATTAAAAGCAAATGACTGTTTAATTCCTCCAAACAAAAGTAAGTGGTTAATGAAAACTAGTTTCTTAATCACAACAGTATGTTCCTGTTTAACTATAGAGTCAATAGCAGGAAGATACAGAAAGCAGTACAATAAAACTAATATGTGTATATAAGGTAACAAAATAAATAGAGAATGAGAAATTGAAACATATAAATCCTATAATGAAATTAATTAAGATAAATTATTGATATAAAAAAAAGAGTTCTTGGTCTACAGAACGGTTAGCCTTACTTTCAAGTGAACAATTTGTATGTGCTAATGCAGTAGAGTGTCACAACTGATGTGAATCATGGTGCCAGGTAGAGATGTTTAGCTATTTGTATTCTCAGGAAATTCCCAACCATTCCATGGTACATTGCTGCCATTGGTAGAATTAGATTAAGTTGATCACAGCATTCTTGAAAATGGTTATTCATCTAGCAAGATTTTTAAATGATATAGAGTCAAACAATACAGCATTACAAAGAAAGGAGCCTTCAATATTTGTTGTGGAGGAAAAAAAAATGTAGCTCATTGTTGTACTTGGGACAGCAACAGAGACTTTGAAACCACATCTCAAGCCAATCTAGAGCATCATCCTCATCTGCAATATGAAAATTATAGATAGAAGTTGAAAAGCCTCCAACCCACAAAGTTAGTATAATAAATGAGGATTTGAAGTTAACGTAAGCTCACAAACCAAAATACACCTAGAAAGTAATGGCTGTTTTAATGAAAAAATGGCCAGAGACTCTGGAATCACAATTTTTTGAGCCACATACCTGTTATGCTTTCTGATGAGACTTTGATGTTCTTAAACATAGTCTTGTAAGCTAATGTCCAAGTACAGTGGAAATTTAAGATGTGTAGCCCTGATTTAAGGTCATCATTTAGAAGATCTTGTTTAATGGAAACTGAGATGTCAACAATAGTGCTTGATCATGGATATCAGATTGAAAAAGATCAGTGGTAATGTAGTTCCAAGGGTATCATTCATGTAAAGTGTAATTAACATAAGTAATCATTATTCTTCACTGGTAGATAATATTCACCCATAATTAGTTCTAGGTATGTTAAGGAATTTATCAAGTCTACTCTTTAAAAACAGTATGTTTGATATTGGAAATAACTTGTATGCAGATTTATTTATTACACAGAACTTCTCTCAGTGTATGTAATTACCATTAATTTTGACTGTTTGACATCATAGTTCTGGAGTTGTTGATGGCTGTATTTTTCTTGTTTTATGCAGAGTTAATTAGCTGCACAGCCATGGCAAGTTGAGGTTAATTTATAAACAAACATTAGCAAGTAAATATATACAGTTAAAGTGGTGAGTGTTAAGGCTTGCACTTGGCAAGTAATTGAAACATGCAACTTGCCATGTTACTGTAATTGCAGTTTGTAATTATTCACATTCTTTTATTTCACAAACTATGTTGTCGTGAACACAGGAAGTGAAACATCTGAAATTAGCTTTTGTGTTTATAAGTATACTTTTTTATCTAATATATAGGTAAAAGAAGTGCAAACTTAAAAATATGCAAAAGTTTTATTGCAGACATATGATAAATATACTGCAAGGATTGTGTGACATAAAGAACACTTCTAAGTTGCACTTGTATACAGATCAGCTTGATCAAGCATATTCTGACTTCTGACGATGTATTCATTGCTTTGTGGCATCTGAGATTTTGGCAAAAAATGGCAAGCTCTGTAATAAACTGTTTATGATTGAATTAGTAAGAGTTGTTTTAGTAATAAAATTTTAAGATCTTTTAAGCAAAAGTAAAGAAGAGTGTATAATAATTCATCAAACCCACTATATCTCATATCCACTGCCAACAAGGCCTTTCAACCAGTATCATTGCTCTTATCAATACTGTATGTGATATTTTTTTTGTAGAATTTTGAATGAACTTTATCCTGGTATCAAGACAGCTTTAAAGAAAGAAGGCATACTCTCTCAGCTTAACCTTCAGTTAGAAGACCTTGAGCCTGAAAATTTCCCAGCTGAATCAGTGGTACCAGCCAGTATTCCGGAGGGATCTTTGTCAGGTACATACAAAACTACCACTAAATACTTTTCAAAAAAGTTGGTACCCTCACTATTTTTCCAAAATGCTACAAGAGTAATTTTATTGCCAATACTTTGTTATTAGTGTGTGTGTGCAAGAATGGGTAGAATGCTGTCTATGATGAGGTGTCTGTCTCTGCTTGGATAATTGTAAGATATGTACCAGTTAGTATCACAGAAGTATTTTGACGTACTTATCCATCAGTATGAAAGAGGTACAGTTCTTATTTACCAATTAGTATCACAGAAGTATTGTTGCCAGATAGATAACAATTGAACCAAGTCTAGACATACTCATGTTTCAGACTATAGGCCAATTAGTCAGTTTATAATGAGCACAGTAGTAAGTTATTATCATTGTAATAGGTTTCATTAACATATTAGATTCTTGTGTAATTAATTTACTATTTAATTTCTTTCATTTATAATGTAAGTTGGAATTTAAAAATTGGTGTCAAAATGTGTTCTATGTTTATGTAGTAGTTTTAGTAATACAAACTTTAATTAGTTTTAGCATATTTTGCAATTATGATGAAAACTTTATTATCTACAAAAATTGTTTAAAACCTTGTTTATTAAATAAATTCATTTCTAGAGTAAGCTTCAAACACAATGAAGGAAGCATGTTAATATAATAAGGTAAACACACAATATTGTGTAAAGTAATTTACAATAAAGTTTAAATCCACACTAATGGAACAATACCAAATTTAAATGAAACAAGTTTCAACATTTCACATATCATTCTCAGTTCAATGTTTGTTTGTGGGAAAAACACATACACTACTACTCATTCTATAATTTCTTGAATGACATGACAGAATGAGTTCAACTTAAAGTAATCTTCAGATGTGTTAAAGTTTGGCAACCTTTGGATTAACAAACTTTCCAGAATTATTCTTTTGACATAATTTGTAGTTCTATGTATTAGCTAGACTGATTTTCAGCTTATTTTATGAAAAAAATGTTCTTAAGTGCAGAAAAATAGCATTATTTGTTTGACCATTTTTAATATCCTTTTTTTGTTCTGTGAGTCTGGTTATTTACATTTTTACCTGTTTCACCAACATAAACTTTTTGCAGACTTAGCAGGGAACAATATAGATGCCCTCTTCTTTATCTTGAGGTGCAGACATTTTTTATTGTAACAAGAGTGGAAACATGACTTGTTCTTTATATCTGTAGAAAACTGACAAATCCTTTATGCTACATTCATTTTTTTCTCATGCCACCATAAAATTGTTAAAACATCAGTTATAACTTCAGTGTTTTTAAGAGCTTAAAGAATTTGTCATCATATGACTCTTGACAGTGAAATTAAAAATATTTACACAATTTTTGAATGACTACAGTACCCTATAAGCTTTATCAAAAATGACCATGAAAAGGCAAGGAAGATATTCTGTAGAAACAGTAAGCAGCAAACAGCACCATCTCCATATGAAAATGAAAAGAAAATATTTAATGTCAACTACAATTCTAATATTGTGGCTTTAGAGAAGTGCTCGAAAGAATAACAATTTCAAAGTTCTTTATAAATGTCCCAACACCATTAAGAATTTCCAACTGTCAAAAAAGTTTTCATCCCAAGGTATAGAACAGGGAATCTGTTTAGTCCCCTGTCAAGTTTACAAAAAAGTTCATGTTGGTGAAGTGGGTAGAAATTTAGACACTAGACTCAAAGAAGACAAAAAGGATGTTAAAAATGGTCAAACAAATAATGATATTTTTTGTACATAAGAGAATTTGATCATAAAAGGTAATACGTAAAACTACAAGTTATGTCAGAAGAATAATTCTGGAAAGTTCATTAATCCAAAGGTTGCCAAAATTCAATACATCTGTAGGTCACTTTATGTTGAACTCCATTCTGACGTCATATGCTGTTCAAGGAATGCGGAACTTCCATTATAAAATAAGCAGTGTATGTGTTTTTGCCACAAAAAACACTAAACTGAGAAGGACATGTGAAATTTTGAAACTTAGTTTCCATTTAAATTTGGTATTGTTCCAGTAGTGTGGATTTAAACATTATTGTATAATACATTAATCTTGAATTGTAACAGGTTACACAGAAAGGGAATGTGTTTAATAAAGGATTAGACTATCCTTGATCCCACTTTTAATAATAGGATTGGTTAAAATATTTGAGAAAGAAAATTGACTGAATTAAGTATTATCCAGAAAAATAGAACTATTTCTTTCAACATAAATTTATAGTCAGACTGATAAATTATTTTACAATCAGTTAGTTGCCTTAAAGTTATTTTTAGTTTTCTGGACTGTATTTTTTACTGAAGAGTGAGAAACTGCAGTATAGCATCAAACATGTAAAGTGCTAATGGGAGAAACACATCCCACAAGAAATGCTCAGACAAACTCAACAATGCATTTTACAATCAAGCAGATATATAAAGTTCTATTGGAGAAACACATCATACAAGAAATACTTGGACATATTCAAGTTAAGAAAGGAGGAAGAGACAGTTCTTTTCTTTATCCTATTACCACTTGTTGGGAGGTCTGTTACTAAGTTCCTTGAAAATGCAGTTAAAACCAAGGAATATTTACAAGCAGTCTCATGTCCACCCACATTTACTAAGATATACTGGATACTGTTGTTTTTTCATTGCAAGTAAGCATCAAAAAGCTGAAAGAGGAGACTAACCAATGTTATTTGAGATGGTTCCTATTTTGAAGAACTTGAAACATCAGTATGATAATCATCCTTGTCAGCAGCTAAAGAACAAAGCTCAGTGATGACATTATCGAAGTAACATCTTAAAAGTTAGATCCAAAGAACAGAGATTAAGACTTGGAGTAAGATGAGCAGACTAATTGGGAACATGAGCAAGTGAATAACTGAGTGAATTACCAGTATTTAAAACACTGGAACCAAGTAACTAGTTATTATGCATTATGACCTCCACCTCTTTCAAGATGAAAACCTGAATAGTAGCTGTGTCATGGATTGAGAATGAAGGGTGAAAACTAGAAGCTTTGGCTCTGAGCACTGTTGGAATTGGAGCCAGCAAATGTCCAGAAGAAGGTACTTGTGAGGATAACGAATCATGTCAACACAAAGTGAATGAAAACAGTGGTTTTATCTTGTAATTTTAGGTAAAGCAGTTTCTCTATAAAAGTTGTGACTTAGAAGGGATTGAACATTGACACAATATCTGTTACTAGTAATATGTGTGGATGCAGACCTATAAAGCATTTAATAAAAATCCAAATCTTAAAAGAAACAGTTCAGATATTCTTAGCAAAATTAAAACCTATACCAATAGTAGAAGCATACCTGTTCCTAAACATTAGAACAGACATACAAGTCAAACATGATAAAAGGTGTTTACATTGATAACAAAAGTCATGTGTTTGGATATGTTTAAAACTAACCTGAAGACTGAAGATATAAAATAAAATCCCGAATAAAGGTTTAGCTAAAAACTGATTCATTTACATAGAATTCTGTATTTCTACCAAGTTAGTAATTTTATAACTTTGGCTGTATAATATAGTAAATTTATAATTTATGCATTCCTTTCAGTGCAATTAAAGTAATTTTTATCTTTCCTGGTAGGTGTGGGCCACTTAGAAGGAGAACTTTTAGCAGCAAGGGATCCCAATACAATCATCACTTTAGTATCTCAGATCCAGTCTGCACCTGGAAGTAGGCCACTCTGTAGCATAAACTATAAGGTGTCATTATTTTGATTAGCTACTGAAACTAGTGTACTATAATTGCTTTAGTTAAATAATGGGTGTTATAAATGACTTTCGAATGTCTTATTTTGATTCAGTTAGATGGGTATTTTGACTACTTTGTTAAAATCATAGCCTTAAGGGTTTCTTGACATTAACTCTCTCTACACATTCTCTGTCAAACTGACCGACCACGTGACCACTTTGTACTCATTTAAAGTCGTTACAGTTTTGATATTACTAACTTTTAATATGCAGTATGTTTATCTTCACAAAATTTGGCAGACTTTCAGTAAACATTCCAAGTGTTTTACACACAAAAAATCAGATTTTTTAGTGAAGTATTTTTAATAAACTAAAAAAAGATTTGTTCATAAATATATTGAGTCTTTTTTTTACTAGTCCATGTGCAAAGTGATTTTCATGTTAAGACTAAAAATACTTTTCTTCGTTTCAAAAATCTCAAATTTGATTTGCATAATCTCTAAAACCTTCTAAATACATTTTAAATGTTTGTTTTCAGTAAAACTTTATATTTTATCTATTATTTTCTCTACCGTAACTCTATACAATGTTGGTAAATTTGGTCGACCTTGTAACCACCAAAAAACTAACCAAAATAAATCTAAATTACCCTTTTTTGTCTTTCTAGAATAACTTAAAATTGTAACATGAAACTAGATTTGTTTATCCTAAGTAACTTTAAACTTGTAACAGTATACATCTATTTATACTTATATTTTATTGTTTTATTGCCCTTTGAACCGTGTCTAACTACTATTCGTTCCATTATCAGTTGTAAATCATTTGGGGAATATGCGGTTCATGTTATGCTATTGAATTACATTACACACGAACAATTCTGAGCTACTCGTGTGTGTGTGCCTCATGAAAAGTTTTTACTATATTATTATTATTAATTCTATCTGATCTAACCTTAACCTAAAGAGTTTCCTATTTTTACATTTTATTTACTTTTATAATAATAAGTAAAAAAAGCACATGTAAAACAAGAAATAAAGTATTTACCTAGGCCCTCTTTTTTTTTTAACTTTCAACTGTTGATGACACTTGCCCATACTTTTTTTATACCAATGGTAGTAATGCACTAAATTTTTATTTAATTAAATAATGCACCATAGAACATAAAATAATAACATGCAAAAAGCAGACAATTCCCCCTAACTATCACAATTTTCTGGCTTTATTACTGTGAGACAAAAACCATTAAAAATTCATCCAAGCCAGTCGATATGTTTCCCGTGGGATCGAAGCTTGTACTGAAAGAAACATTGACAATTGTCTGTACAGAAAAAAACATAATATAATACATCATTTGATAGATGAAAACATTGGCTTTCTATTGATTATATATAATATAGTATTAACTGTAAGAGAGAGCTATCAACAAATCCTAAAAGAGAGAATGTGATTGGTGTGTGTGGCAAGAGGGGTCTGATTTTTTATTTTATGGCTCTGTAACCAAACAAGATTGAAAGCTATAAAAATTATGCTTTGTCTGAGAGATGATGATATTATAAGTAATTTATGTTGAATTTTGTACTTATTGTGAATAAATTAAAGAAGAGGGGATGCCTGGGGAAAAAATGTCACATTTCTCACACTAAGGGAAATTTAGGATTTTAATATTGCATTATAAAATTAAGAACTTAAAACCTATAAGCTATTAAAATATAGATTTTATGCTATACTAATTGGTATAATATAACCAAAATGTTTTAATTAAATTTTGAATATAACTCTCTAAAAACCTTGTGACATGCAAAGAAAAGGATGCCTATGGTAAGACGGTTAAGGATTGTTGAAAAACAAAAGGAATTTATTAACCCTCTCGCTGTGGGCTTAGTTGATGTAACCAACTTTTTAATCCATACTGTAACTTCTAATATGTTTTGTGTGTCTTCATTACAAGTCTTTTGTACACAAAAAAATTAGAATTTTTATTATGTATATTTACTTAAGATTTGTCTGTGAATATATGCAGTCAGTGTTGATTGCTCTAGGTGTAAAGTGATTTTCATTGCCAAATTTCATTTTCATAATCTCTAAAACCTCCTAAATATATATCAAACATTTCTTTTTCAGTAAAACTTTACATGTTATCTGTTATTTTCTATACCATAACTATATACACATTCAGTCTATTTGACCAACCTTGTAAACCGCATTAAAAATAAACTAAATATATCTAAGTTCTTTTTCTAGAATGATTACAAATTGTAACTAGATGCTACAATTGTTTATACTTAATTTTATTGTTTTATTGCCCTTTGACCTGTGTCTAACTAATAATCATTTGGTGAATGGTACCTCACATTACCTCATTGGATTACATAACACACAAGCTGCTCATGAGCATACCTCATGAATATTTTTTTCATTATCTTACCTAATTTAACCTTATCTAACCTAATAAGATTGTAATTTTTACTTTAATTACTTTTATAATAATAAACAAGAAATATAGTACTTACCTGTGTCCTATTATATTTGTGCTGTCAACTGTTTATGATATTTAACACTTTCTCTATGGGCATCTTTTTCTTATATGAATGAATTTTGCAAAAAAATGTAGCTAATAATCTAAAATTTAAAGTGTATAAGATTTAACTTCTTTATTTTCTATAGCAATATTTAAAAAATTCTGTCATATCCTCTCTTTCAACAAATTGCCAATAGTTCTCTCTGCTACTGCTATATTATTTATAACCAATAGAAAGTGAGAGTTTTAATCTATCAAATGATGTATTATATTACATTGTTTCCTGTACAGAAAATTATCAACCATATTTTCAGTTCTAACTTTATTCCTATGAGAAACACATCGACCAGCTTAGCTGAATTTTTAACTGCTCTTGTCACAAATTTAAAAAGCCTGAAAAATTGTGGTAGTTATGGGACATTGTCTGCATTTGGCATGTGGTTATTCTTTGTTCTTTGGCGTATTATTTAATTAAATAAAGAAATATTTTAGGCAGTGGTACCATTAGTATACAAAAGTAGGGTTAAGTGTCCTTGAGAGTCGAGGGCATAAAAAAAAAGATCTGTTTAAGTACTTTTTCTGGTTTTCATGTGTATTCTTTATTTATTATTATAAAAGTAAATAAAATGTAAAAATTGGAAACATTTTAGGTTAGATAAGGTAATACAAAGAACTAATAATTTTTCACGAGATATGCTCACAAGTAGTCCATGCATTATGTAAATCAATACTGTAACACGAGTCGTACATTTACCATGTAATTTACAACTTATATGGTACAGATGTTAGTTAGACATGGTTCAAAGAGCAATAAAACTTAAGTATACATAGATGTATATTGTAACAAGTTTAAAGCTATTTAGGATAAACAAATGTAGTCATTATAGAAAGAAAAAAGGGTAATTTCGATATAGTTGACTAACCTTGTGTAGAATTAGGGTAAAGAAAAGAACAGACATAAAATTTTATTGAAAAAAAAACGTTTGAAATTAATTTATGAGGTTTTAGAGATTACGCAATGGAAATATGAGATTTTTGAGATGAAAAGTACTTTTAATATTAACGTGAAAATCACATTGCACTCAGAACTGTAAAAAAAAAGACTCGATACATTCACAGCTAAATCTTTAGTAAAAATGCTTTATTAAAAAATCCGATTTTTTATGTGCAAAAGACTTGTAATGTTGACTGATAGTCTGCCAAGTTTTTGAAGATACACATACTGTATTAATAGTTATAGTATGGAAACTGTAGCGAGTACAAAATTGTTATGAAGTTGGTCAATTCGACCAACCTCATGGCAAGAGAGTTAAGCTTATTTTTTTATAATAATGGTACTAGTACACTAAATAATTTATAGCAAGCAGTGTCCAATAACTATCATAATTTGTCTGGCTTTCTAACTACAGTATAAGAGCCTTTAAATCTTACCTTAAGCTTGTCGATATGACCACCAGGAGAGAAACTTTCAAACTGAAAATGAAATCAACAATACACTGTAGTGAAAGTAACATAATATAAGACATCATTTGATGGACTAATACCTTGATTTTCTATTGGTTATAAATAATATAGTATTAAACATCAGAGGGAACTATTGGCAATTTGTTAAATAGAGGATGTGACAGTTGGGTGTGGCAAATAGTTCTGATTTTCTAGTTTATAATTCCGTAAACAAGGTTATTGAAGGTTATGAAAATTATGTTATGCCTTAGTAATATCTATGGTATAATGATTAATTTATGTTAAATTCTGTACTTCTTGGAGGGATGGTGAACAAATTGGAGAAGAGGGAAGACCTTGAGAATAAGCATGATCATTCTCGTACTATGGGAGATTGAGGACTTTTTAAATATTTCCTTGTAAAATTAAGAACTTAAAACTTATATGATATTAAAATTGATTTATTAATTCATTTTCTGATGCCAAGTTTATTTCCATACAGTAATGATAAAGGAATTAAATTTTGAATGTAACTTGTTAACTCTTTCAGCACGAGCTTGGTCCCTGGGACTGACCTCATAACCATTTTGTGCTTGTTATAGTTTTCATGCTATAACATTTAAATTACTAAGTAAATGTTAACGAAATTTGGCAGGATATCAGTAAACATTATAATGCTTTCATATGTCTTAAGGTTTGTAAAGCAATGTTTTTTTTCGTGCCTTTTTTTTTTCACATGTTGCATATCTAACATGCAAAGTAATTTTCATTTTAAGATTAAAAATACTTTTATGCATCAGAAAATTTTTTAATTTCACATGTGAAATCTTTATAATGTCTGGATAGTTATCAAACATTTCTTAAGAAAAAACTTTATATCTTATCTGTTATTTTCAGTAATTAATCTCTGTACGGGTTTGGTAGATTTGACCAATTAAGAAATAAACATAAATTATGCATCTTTCATTCTAGAATGAATACAAATTATAACACAGAAACATAAATGTTTAGACTAAATAGCTTAAATCTTATAACATTATACATTTATATATTATATTGTCCTTTCAGCTGTGCCTAGCTAACAATACAGAAGTTACAATGACGTGGCACATATGTACTTACGTTACTGTATCCAATAACATAAAACTGACCTTTCGTCTTTACAAAGCAACCTGTATTGGCTGTGTTTTACTAGACTAGTACTATGTAAAATAGTCACATTTCAATTATTATACATTATATATGTATATAGGTTATTGCTGTTTAGAAATAAGTTCATAAACTTATTTTTCTTTAAAACATAGAACAGTAAATAAAGAATTAAAGCAAACAATTATCTCTTCTAACTATGACCTTTATACTGGGCTGCTGCTTGACGTAGGTACTAAGCCTTTAAAAATTTTGCACGTGGAGGATATGAAACAAAATAATTTTTTTTAGTTTTACTT